CTCGTAGCAGGCCCAGAAGCTATCTCAGGTCCAGCAAGTATCTGGAGTACAGGTCCCGTCCTCGTCGAGACACTGGCAAAGATGGGGAACCGGTATGGTCGGACGAGCTTGAAGACGCGTTTCAACAAGGTGAGAAAAACAATCCATTAGCTGCACGACATATGAGTACTAATGTTGTGATAGCTCTCGAGGCGAATCCGCCAATGGGCAGACGGAAATGGTCAGAGCGAGGAAAGTCATATGGTCGAAATGAGCTCATTGCTGAGTTCATCTACAAGAAAACTGGTAAACGAAGAACTCGAAAGCAAGTCTCCAGCCACCTCCAAGTCCTCGACTCGTTCCTCAAAGGAGACCCCGATTGTAAGTGGCAAAGCCAAGTATACTAAAGTCGGACCGAGCTAATACAAGTGTCTAGGGGAGCGACTCGTACGAGAAGAGGCGAACGTCCGCTCGAACAACCAACATCCGCCCGCTGGTCCAAGATGGGGGCCTGCCATGGATCCTCCCTTGTCAAGTCATTATGGCACTCACCTCCACCCCACCTATCATGACCCTATGAGACAGGCCTATGGAGAACTGCCGCCTACCCCGTTTTCCATGAACGCCAGCTGGCCCGAGAGCAACTTCAGTACTATCCAAGGCCTCGGGTTCGGTATGTGGGTAAACGAGCCAGACAAGAACGATCGTATTGAGGACGCGAGCCATATCTACAGTCGCCTTCAAGACGACCAGCGGCATCCGGTAGCGCCGATCTCTTTGAATGAGATCAGAAACTGGCAAACATCCTTTCCTTACCTCAATTCGCTGATGGCGAATTCCAATGGATCATTGGACTGCGACATTATCCTAATCGAATCCAACCTGAAGTTGATGGATGACTTCCCGGCTGCTCGCTCTAAACTCGGCATTCACTTGGAGTTAGACTTCGCCCAGGCTAGTGCGGCTGGAGTGCCGATCCTTAGCGAGATGGAGAATTGGTCCTCCAAGATCTACATGTATGAAAATGGCCAAGAGATCTATCAAGGCCGGCAAGAAGTTGCGAGGCCAACGCACACCGCGACGCACACCAAGGTGAAGCCTCACTTTGAATCCAAATGGTGGGCGAATCGCTTCACCAAGCTCACGCAAGATCAAAAGCTGGCCGAGGATGCTGGACACCATGGCCACGAGCAAGCTCGGGAGTTCCTCCGCCACCTGACCGTAGTTCAGGAGATTCGAGCTATGACACCCTACAGCTCGCGGAGAATGTCCAACCCCTACTCTGGACATTCCGTAAGTGAGAAAAAGAGGGTGGCAATCATTCTCTGGAAATTCCGACAGACGCTGCCCCGCGACGTAGTTGGCACTACAACATGGCGTAGAGTGGTTTCGTCGGATCGAATCCCTCATGCAAGCCCCAAAGCAGCGACGGGCATCGATCTCCCTCCCCCAATGTCGCTTGCTGACTCCATACTCCTGAACCGGCCGGGCCCTAACGTTTACCATCAACCCCAGCCGCACGAACTCCTTCACAACAATGGAGTTTCCCAAAACCCTTGGCCTCTGTATTCAACAGGCCAGGAGAGCGTTGCACAAATGTTCAACGCACCTTTTGATTTCATGAGTCCCCTTCCCAAGCAAGAAGACCGCCTTAACGATAAGATCGCCGTGACCTTGGGTCTCGATGGCTTCCCAAGCCTCCAATCACATGATATCAGCCAGCCGACCAGCCTCAACGGGCCCAACAGTGGCACAAGCATTCTTAGCATGCCAGAAGTTCCTTTGTCGCATTCCTCTCATGGTCCATACAGCCTTGAGCATGACAGCCACTATGTCCACAGCCAGCCACTTGGGGTCAATGTGCACGACAACAACGCCCTGCTGAACGGCATGCTGGTGACGAGCGCACAGTCTATCGACGATATGAACAACAGCCAGGCATCCTGGATGCCACCAACCACCGCAATGTCTGGGGACATTCCCGGCAGCCACTACCCGCACATTGGCTTCCCGTCATCCGAGCACCACGTTGCGGTGCCCCGTGAGCCAAATCCAAGCCACAGCTATGACTTTATGCCCGAGGAGCTCGATAAGTGGCCGAGCAGCCTGCCGACCGATATGAATGGAGGAGCGCATGAGCACGCGCACTCTTATACCGCGAGTAATACAGTACAGGCCGTTTAATGACAGGCCGAGCGAGACTACTTAATGATAATTATGGCGAAAAAAGTATTCTTAATAATGTGATGGGCCGGTTAATCTTCGATTCGTATGCAGTGTAAAATAATGGCAGGATACCTTTTACAATGTTTATTCATTATTTCTTAACAAAATACCTTCGTTTACACCTAGAACTACGTAGTAAATATTATTCCCCAAGTTGTAAACACAGTACTCCGCAGTGGTAGAACCAAAATTAGGGTCAAGTGGCGGCATTTAGCCGGCAGATGGATGCATTTAGCCGGGCCCGACTTTGGATGGCATCCGGCCAGCCCTTGGATAAGTTACTACCCCAACTCAATACAGCCGCCACAAATTCATTTAGCCTCCAATGCCGCTATCTGTGCCGTGTATGGCGCCTCCAGTGGATACGCGCAATGGATTTGAGTTCATAATGCCATGACCGAGGGGCAGTTACTTATTACCCCTCCAAACCTTCCCTTCCTCTCCCTTCATCCCCCCTGATCCTACTTTGACCGCGTCTCTATACCTTGTCTCAACACGACCTTGTTACTCCTTCAATCACCATGGCCTCTCCCACAGTCAAGCTAAACAGCGGCTACGACATGCCCCTCGTGGGCTTTGGTCTCTGGAAGGTGAACAACGACACCTGCGCTGACCAGATCTACGAAGCCATCAAGGAAGGATACCGTCTGTTTGACGGCGCCTGCGGTACTGCTCCCCCCATAAAACACAACCAATATTTCCAAACTAACACATGAAATACAGACTACGGCAACGAAGTCGAAGCCGGCCAAGGCGTCGCGCGGGCCATCAAAGACGGTCTCGTCAAGCGCGAAGAGCTCTTCATCGTCTCCAAGCTATGGAACAGCTTCCACGACGGCGACCGCGTAGAACCCATCTGCCGCAAGCAGCTCGCCGACTGGGGCATCGACTACTTCGACCTGTACATCGTGCACTTTCCCATCGCGCTGAAATACGTCGACCCTGCGGTCCGCTACCCGCCGGGGTGGATGTCCGAGAACGATAAGCTGGAGTTCGGCAACGCCACGATCCAAGAAACCTGGACGGCGATGGAGTCGCTCGTGGACAAGAAGCTCGCTCGCAGTATCGGTATTAGTAACTTCTCTGCGCAGCTGGTCATGGATCTGCTGCGGTATGCGCGCATTCGTCCTGCTACGTTGCAGATCGAGCATCATCCCTACCTCACGCAGACCAGGTTGGTCGAGTATGCCCAGAAGGAGGGGTTGACCGTTACGGCGTATAGTTCTTTTGGACCGTTGAGTTTCCTCGAGTTGAGCGTGCAGAATGCGGTGGATTCGCCGCCGTTGTTTGAGCACCAACTTGTTAAGGGCATTGCGGAGAAACATGGACGCACGCCGGCGCAGGTGTTGTTGAGGTGGGCCACGCAGAGGGGTGTGGCGGTTATTCCTAAGAGTAATAATCCTCAGCGGTTGAAGCAGAACCTGGAGGTTACCGGGTGGGATCTGGAGGAGGACGAGATTCGGGCTATTGCTCAGTTAGATCGCGGGTTGCGGTTCAATGATCCCTTGGGAGTGAGTTTTATCCCCCTTTTTCTTCCATTGTATCAATATGTGGAAATGTTTACTAACTTGGAATCACAGTACGGACTCTACGCTCCTATTTTCTAAACGACCCAGCTATGAGTGTACATACGATATATGAATACATAACCAATCTTGTAGATGTTATAACTTGATGCATGTGACATGGTTGTAGATAGATCATAGATAAGATAAACCCGCCAAGACCGCATCGCGATAACCAACATTTCTCCATCCCATCCATCCATCTCCCATCATCCACTCACCTTAACAACCACTCCTTCAATACCAACCCAAATACCAACCTCAGTCCCAATAAACAAGAAAAAAATGACCCTAAAACCCCTAACCAGCAGCATCCACATCAAAACGCACCCAGCCCCGCGCTCCCTCTCCGAAAGCAAACTCATTCTCTCCGCACTCCAGAAATTCGGCGAAGTCGTGACATTTCGAAATCTAAAAGTAATCCCCTTTCCCCTCTCCCCTCTCCCCTCTCTCACCAAATAACCAAACTCAATGCTAATGCAAGTAACGATGGATAGTACGACCCCACAAACACATCCCCCAAATCCGCCCACAATACCATCGCCATCTTCGAGTCCGCGGCCGCGGCGTCTTCGGCCATTGCGGCGTCGCCGATTACTATCCCTGTACAATCTCAAACACAAATACCAACTCAATCGCAAAGCCAGAGTCTAGAGGGAAGAAATGATGAATCTACCTCCCACACACCCTCCGTACCATCACAATCACAGTCACAATCACAACCACAATCACAATCCCAAGGACCGACCCTAACATGCACGATCCAACCCTCACGACATAACCACGTCTCGGCGATGACGCGCAACCCATACCATACGTTCTTCTATGTGGATAAGGAAAGCCATATGTATAAGGATCTGGTGAAGAGTGGGATACCGTTGGATTATTTGGCGGATGGGCCGATGAGGAGGAAGGCGCATGTGCCGGAGCGGGTGAAGAGGATGCTGGATCGGGATGTGTGGAGGTTTGGGGGGAAGAGTTTGATGGGGTTGTATCGGTTTGGGGTGGAGAGTGAGGGTGAGAGTGGGAATGGGATGGAAGGGCAAGGGGAGAGGGAGAGGAAGGATGGGGAGGGTGAGGGTGAGGGGACGAAGTGATGTGATGTGAAGTGGGTTGATGATTGTATGATTTGTGTCCATTTTTCCTCTGTATAATAGGGTGGGTCGGTGGGGTTGTACATGTATGTATAGCGGGCTACGTACGTCACTTCGTTTATTGTAATTCTAATAGGTGATGGGTAGGTGGGCGGGTACATTAATAGCTATGGATGAGGTTGATGGCATGTAAGATGAAGAAATCGTTCCCTTACACAACGCGGATATACGCTACGTTTCGTTAGCATCTCTAAGCGTCAACAGATAAAGGAAGAAGACTTACTCGCGTCAACCTGCATGATATGCGGTATCGCCAACCGCACCTTATTCCGATACAATGCTGGCGCTCTCGTCTGTAGCGGGTTGCCCTCAAAGTACACCGTCTGGAGTTTCTCCTTGTCCCGGAGTTCGCGCTCCACTTCATCGAAGCTCGACAGTTGGTTGTTGGACGCCCACAGCTCCTCCAGATTCTTCAGATGAGACACATGTTCCAGCTTGGACACCTGGTTGTTGGAAAAGTCCAGCACGCGCAGCGAGGTGTTCTCCTCGAGACCGCTAAGGTCGGTGATCGCATTATGGGACACATAGAGTTCCTCCAGGTTCTTCAGGTTCGAGAGCCCACTGATACTCGTGAGACGGTTCGACTGGATAGAGAGGATGCGCAGGTTGGAGAGGCCATCGAGGTTCTATCATCACCGCAGTCAGTCAGCCAACGCACATCACACCCAAGACTTACAACGCAACCGACGTACCTTCAATTCCGTGATCTTATTCTTCCCCAGCCACAGCTCCTCCAACGCCTTCAGATTATCCAGATTCTCAATCTCCTGCAAGCAGTCAGAACGATACCCCAACAAACATCTCAAACACATCCAAAACCCACCCGAATCCTATTCGCCCCCAGCTCCAGATTCCTCAACGACGTAAACGTCTCCACCCCCTCTATCTTCGAGATCTTATTCTGCACAAAATACAGATCCGTCAACTTGACCAAATGCGAAATATTCTTAACATGCTTAATCTTATTGAAGCTAAGATCCAAGCTGGTCAAATTCTCGAACTCATCAAGTCCCTTCACATGCGATATCAGGTTATCGTAGAGATCGAGTTCCGTCAACGACTTGGCAACTTCCGTGGGGAATTCGATTCGTGTGATTTGATTCTGTCGGAAACATAATCTCTGCATCATCCACCGTTCAATTAGCACTGTATCGCGCGACCACACAAATACTGGGTATCATCGCTATACCTTCACCTTGGGAAACCGCTCCAACCGCAACGCCGGAAGCGAAGTTATGCGACAGTGAACGAGGTCGATTTCCTGATGCGAGGCGTGTTAGTTAGCTGGCTGTGTCCATCAATCAACGAACGCGTCGCGTCGGAAGAAGTATCAGCGTATACCTCTGCGTCTGGGTCCTCGTCCTCCAATAGATCTGCACACAAAACCCAACCATCAGTATATTGTCCTTTGTATCACCGGTATACCACGCCACAGCATCCCGGGATTCATGGATGTTGATTGACATACCCTCATCGGCCTCGATCTCCTCCACAGGCGGCGCATCCGAGTCCGAGTAATCGGGGTCTTCTAGGGCTTCCGGGTTCGTGATCGTGGCTTTCGGTTCGACCCGTAGCTTTCCGTCCCAGCCGTTTTTGTCCTTCATGTTGAGCGATGGGGTGTGGGCGTGTGTGGGCGTGTGTGTGTGTGTGTGTGTGTGTGTGTGTGTGTGTGTGTGTGTGTGTGTGTGT